CTTAGGCTGCTGCCCCCGTGACCCGGCCCCGGATAAAGCGGATGAAGATGGAGATGGAGATATTTATTGTATATTTTTTGGTACATTTATAAACTTGAAGGTAATTTTATGTCATTTTGTTTTTAACAGAATGAGGCTCAAATGTAAAACTGTTTTACTGATAACTTCTTACACATAAAGACTGATTCCCAGTCTCTTCCTGACGTGAGGATTACACTTTCATAATCTAACACTGGTATTAGACTGACACGCCGTGGTGGCCGTAACCCACAGACTGGGCACTGACTGGGAAATGGAAAGAGCTCAGTCAGTACAGCGCTAAAATATGTCTGCGTTTTAGTCACTACTAACTCTAAATCTACCCATACATGGTTCATTAGACCTGATCAAAGATACATTTTTCACCCATTTGAGGGAAAGTTGGGAAACAGCTTGGATCGCTTTGGGAAAAACTTTTCTTGCAGACACTACAAAGAGAAACTATCAGCACTGGTGATAGAATTATAACGAGTGGTTTGATTAACTCAAGTATAATTGTTATTTGTTCTGTCATGACATCAGGAAGGCAGTATACGGTTGCACAGTCACTGCATTTACCATCGAACAATAAGGCATGTGTGTGAACTCTCCCCAAGAGGTCCATTGTAGATCACAGAAACATGATTAGACATAATACGTACAAGATGTTTATACTTCTTAAAGTAGGTATTAGCAGAAGGTGTTATAGTGGCTCTGGTATAGAACGTTTTCATATAAGCAGTCCAGCAGTTTCACTGATTTCTTCTTCAGCTTTTGACACTTTGGAGACTCCTTGTGGAGATCACACACACCTCAGGTTAATTTCACTTGAAAGAAATCTACTGTACCTTCAACTTGAGATTGTATCCAGCCAGTGAAGGGCCCCACTACTGATGCTCCTACCCAAGCACCAACCCCCCCCAGCAAGCATGCTTTTATCACCGGGATCAAATCCAGGCATGCCCTCAAACAGCCGTTAGTGCAATATCAGAATGTGCAGGAGAGCTCAGTGAGGTGGGCCGGCTCAGCCAAAAGCTTCTAACAACATTACCTGTGATCTCCTGAACATGCTATTCATCCAGAGAAGAACAGCAATGGATGAAGATGACAGAGCAACATGACTTCTGAGGAATAGTCAAGGCAGCAATGCCAACTGCTGATGGTGTTCGTCTGTCCTGCCCAACACACACCTGTCACACACCTCCATCTTCGGATGCACGTATGTGCATCATCCCTTATTTCCCACACCAAAAACAGCAGTGTCATCATGACACTGTATCCAGTGACAGGGTGTGAGAAGTCATTATCTCCAGCACAAGGTGAACTTGTGTTCCACAGCACACAGAAAAATGCAGCGATGCAGTGATGCAGTGATGCAGTGATGCAGTGAGATTGTATAGTGGAGGCATGCCATCAGGGATTGGATTTAAAGGTCAGCAGATATATACACTGCCCAAAGGAAGACTACAAGAGAGTATGTACTGATCTAGCAGGACATGAGGGAAAAGTCCAGCAGCTGAATGTGTGAATCCCAGACACAATAAGTGGGAAGCGAGCGTATTCAATCCCCGAGAGCAGCTTTACTCTCAGAAAACAATGCTGAGATGCAGGAGAGGCAGGCGAGCAGCACGAACAGCAGTTCAGTCAGGAAATCACTTTGTGACGTCTTAAACCTACGTTTTAGATCATCAAAAAGCTTAGTTTCCAATCGCATCCATTTCTAGGATGATGATTAGTCTAATTTTCATTAACACTGCTTTGCACCTCACCCTGCAGCAGAACTGATTCTTATCAGGCAATGGAGGTGGACTGCACTGCTGTTAGTGTGTGGATGGATAGGCTGGGGTTGGGGAGAAGGTGACAGACATGCTGCACTTCTTGATCCCCTTTACCTAGATCTGTCGTGTCAGTAAAGTTTTCTGCCAATAAAAACAGAGAATGAAAACATGAGAGTTGTAAGACAGACAGACATGGCAGCAAGAAGGTTGCTTCAGAGGTGCACTTCAAAGTGTCCACGGGTTTGTTTCTACATGTGGTTGAGGTAACATGTTGCTCAATTAATATGATCTCACTGCCACTGGATGCAACACACACGTGAGGAGGTGCAGAAGAAGAAATTAGCTAGAAAACATAGAGGACAACAGTGTCTTAACTGTGAGCTGGTCAGTGAGGAATAATACTTATATGATTGTTCCTACAGTCACCTTGAAGCTGTTGACTGAGGGTCAAATTGTTCGTTTCTTACACACAAAGAATGATTCCCAGTCTCCTCCTCCTCCTAATTATTGAGCACTGGTATTGGACTGGTAGTCTGCAGTAGGAGGTACCCAGAAATGGAAAGAGCTCTGCCCATACATCCCTGTTTGAAAGGCAACATCTTCAAGTCTCTGAGCAAGTGGCTAAAATGTAACCATAATAATAATGATCACAGCTCCTTCTCCAGATAACCTCATACTTTACTTTATTAGAGGACTGTGTTTATTTCCTGTCTTTGTTCATCGCACACAAACACACACAGACACGCACACACAGACACAGACACACACCATTACTGCCAGTGTCAGCCCTCAGCCTTCTACTAGATGACTTTATGGTGTAAATTTGAAAATTCCTTCTGAACTCATTCACAGGCTTTTTAGAAAACCTGACCTCTGACCTTGAGTTGCCAGGATTTGAACTTGTCTGAGATTTTTAGTAGATGCACCTATGGTATCAATTTGAAATAAAATACTATTACATATTTTTCATGTTAGTTTTTGAAGTTGGCAGTTCGTCTTGTAATCGGAAGGTTGCCGGTTCGAGTCCCGGCTCGACAGTCTCGGTCGTTGTGTCCTTGGGTAAGATACTAACCTCATGTTTGCCTACTGGTGGTGGTCAGAGGGCCCGGTGGTGCCAGTGTCCGGCAGCCTCGCCTCTGTCAGTGCGCCCCAGGGTGGCTGTGGCTACAATGTAGCT